GAACTCTGAAGATCGATTCCTCCGGAGGGGATTCAATCGAGCTTTGCTCCGGTCAATCGGAAGCCAAAGTGAGTGATGTTTTGCTGGATAATGCGAATTTTGTGCTGAGAGAAGATGGAGATTGTAGATTCAAGAGTGAGAGAGAGAAACGACACCAGAGAAAAGGGATAGCCGGATAGCGAAGGATTGTCGAAATTAGGAATTAAAGGGTTTTATCGGTCCGTCGGTAATGGTAATCGGGTATGGACCGGACCTGACCGAAACCCGAAATCATATATCTTCCGGACCGAAGACCGACCCGATATCAATTCGGTCCGAGTTCGGTCTGGACCTATCGGTCCGGTCCGGTCGGTTTTTTCGGTCCAGACCTAAACATGAACACCCCTAGTTGGGAGAAGAAGAAGAGCAGAAGAAGAAGAGAAAAAGAAGAAGAAGAGAAAAAGGAGAAGAGAGAGGTCGAGAGAAGAAGAGGGGAAAGAAGAAAGAAAGAAGATGGAATTGACGGTGGATTGGGTTTGACGGAGGAAGAATAGAAAGTCCCTCCCTGGTCACTTTTTTCATATTTTAAGGTACCTCACGGTACATTTTGAAAACATAAAGTACCTGATAGTTATTATCACAAAATATAGGGTACCTGTCAGCAATTTTTTGTTATTCTCTTTATTGGGAGGGAGGCGCCATACTTTTATTCTTTTAACATTTTACTCCCTTCGTCCCTAAATAAACTTCCTTTTTCGTTTTTTCTTTGTCCCTAAATAAACTTCTTTTTTCCCTTAAAAAAACCCCTTTTACCCCTTACTTTTTCATACCATACTTATCACATCATACCTTTTTACTAATAATCTACATATCGCATCTTACTTTTACACATCACATCAAGGGTACTTTTGAAAAGTCAACACAAAAATATCCCTCCCTTAAATCTTCAAAAAGTAAAAAAGGAAAGTTTATTTAGGGACGGAGGGAGTAATACTTTGTACGGATAAGGCTAATCCACAGTGTTGAATTAATATTTTTTATAGAGCATATTTTTAAATAATTTTTCCTTTTCCTGCATTGCGTCATTTGCGTGATATAGAAGTGGAATTTGAGGTTTACGAATTATGTTTTGGATGATTTGGCAAATTTTAAAATGTTAAAGAATCCCTAAATTCCATTTTGCATTGTGGATAATATCAATCGCCGCCATTAGTCCACCATCAATCTTCATTTCACCATCCATCGCCGCCGCTGTAGAACTAACTTCGCCGTCAAATTAGATGTGGATGATAACTATATGGAGTACATTTTTCATATCGGATAGAGAAATCTATCCAAATGATGCATGAATTCCACCGTCCGATGAGAATCCTAGATGAAATCCCATCTGGCAATGGCGAATGAGAAGATAGAAGGAAGCGGGTCGACGGTGAGAGACGATGCTGGCCGGAGTTGACAGCGACGTAGATGACGAACAAAATTGGAAGAGAAAAGATGGTGTATGTATGAATCAATTGGGAGAAGATGAAGAAGAAGATTGTTGGCAGCAGTGTTAATAAAACCAGAGTGGTTGAGCTTAAATTATTAGCTTATCCGATCTTAACCATGGCCAACATGGAAGAAGGGGCAAATGTCCAGCGACCACCACTTTTGCACGGTCACAACTATAATTTTTGAAAAAGACGTATGAGAGCCTCTTTAAAGTCACAAGGAGGTGGAGTCTAGCGGAGCGTGGAGACTGTCAGAAGATTTGAAAACTTTGACAATCAAGCCATTTGAAGAGTACAACAGAGCTGAAGCAACTGCCGCTGAGTTCAATGATAAACCTTAAATGCTATTTTTGATGCAGTTGACCTAACTTAGTACAAACTCATTTCAAACAGCAGAAATGCCAATGAAGCATGACACAGTCTTGAAGTAACTCACGAAGGAGATGAAGAAGTCCAAATTGCAAAATTCCAAATCCTTATGAGTCAATATGAGAATATGCGCATAGATGAAAATGAGAGTATCACTGGGTTTCATGGAAGAGTCAGAGACATAGCGAATCAGCTGGCAACACTAACACTATGTTTGGTTCAAGGAATTTGAAAGGGAAAAGAAAAGAAAATGAAGTGGAAAACCGTTTTTCTTGTTTGATTAGAGGGGAAAAGAAAGAAAAAGTGGAAGGAAAAGAAAATGAGAAAGCAAAATGTACCAAGTGGAGGGAAAACCAAATTCCTTCCATTTTGGTGAGGAAAATGAGAGAAAACTATTTTCTTTTCTTTTCCTTCCAAATTCCTTGAACCAAACATAGTGTAAGCGATCTAATTGCAGAAAACAAGCTTGTTCTCAAGGTACATAGATCTCCGTCTGAGAAATATTACATGAATGTCAAGGCAATCACGAGGATTTTAGAGTCAATAGAGCTGGACATGAAGGAAAATAACAAAAGATGAAAACAAGAGAAACAGATTACCTTCTCTGGGACTGAGGTAAAAGATGACAGTGAAAATGATCCATCTTTGGATGAAGAATTTCAAAAACACCTGACACTCTTCACAAGGAAATTTAAGAAAAAATGGGCCTAGAAGCGAGGTAACAATCATAGGCATGATGGATCATCAAAGGTTCCACTTCTCAAAGAGTCAAAAGTGAGAGAGTACAAGCTTCTAACATTGAATAACAATATAAAGAAGAAGGCATTGCAATGCTTTGAGTGTGGTGCCTTCGGACACATTCAGACAGAAAGTGCTAACAACTAGAAAAAGAAGAGACGTGCCTTCTCATCCACCTGGAGTGACGAGGAAGCCAAAGATTACCAGGAAGATGGCAAAATAAGTTGTTTTTTCACTTCTCAAGTCATACCAGAGGATGAGAAGAACCTTGCAGAACAACTCGCTGATCTGCAGGAGAATTGAAATGGTCTGAACTCTTGATGATGAAATGTTACAGAAATGAACAGGTTGATCTCTGATATTAATTCACTCAAGCAAAACTTACAAAAGCAAACATCAGGTTTTAGGAAACGGAAGGAGAAAAATTAGATTTGAGATTTGAAGTTAATCAACTCAAAAACTTCTAAAAATGGATGAAGATTGCTGGAGTAGAAGTTCTTCATAAATAGGAAGAGATTTTCAAAAATCTCGAAGACGAAACAGTCTGGGATATACTGAATGCGCTGTTCTTTATAATCAAAAACCTAAAATGGTGATTTTGTCAAGGCTACAGAAGAAACTCAAACATCTTCTATAGCATATACGTGATGAACAACAACTGACAGCTCAGTAGGACAAAAAAAAGAAGCCACATAGTCCTTATCACAAAAAAAAATATCATCGCTCTAACTTCTACCATAACTATATGTGTTACTCTAGCAAAACATTGGGTCATACCAAGAGGGAGTGTATTCAGTGTAAGAAGTGGAGAAACCAGAGAAGAAGAAGACCAACAGCATCCCCCACTAGAAAGATGAAGAAGATGTGGATCCCAAAGAAATATGCAATGGTTGTAAACATATGCTATAGAGTCACTCGGAATCAATCCTTGACGCAAACAGAAGATTCGGACCAGTTTAAGTACCTCATGGTACCCTTAACGGTAGGGGGTACCAACCCCACAGTACTGGGGTACCAACTGTGTAGCTGTAACTCTCATTTGGTAGGCCTGTCACGGTAGCCTCTACCGACCCGGTGGTAGGCCCTACCATAGTTATTAATGGCGAGTGGCGAGAAGCGGGCGAGAGGACCTTTTTTATGGCGAGAGGCGGGCGCTCAAATGGCGAACATGCATGCATACATACATACATACATACATATACATATACACAGGCACACACACACAAACATATGTTTGTATTCATGTATAAACACATAATATTGATACTATGTATGTATGTATGTATGTATATATATGTATATGTATATGTGTGTGTGTGTGTGTGTGTGTGTGTGTATTCATTGCAGTGATACTAGAATTCATTTCTAGTAGCAATATTTTGACCGACTTCTAGAGTTCCCTTAACGCTAAATCACTAGAGACACTTTCTTGCAATTGAGATTGACTTTTGGCAAGGTATAGAGAACAAGAGGGAAGATATAACATTGATACACAAAACTACATAGATGCAACCACAGAGGAAAGTGGCCTGGTAGTTTCAACGAATAACTTAATAAGTATTTTTCTTAAATTGTTATTAATTAGGTTTTTAGATGAGTGAATTATAAGCTTTTTCAAGGGTTTCTTTACGATTCTTTACTTCGTCACTTTTTTGACCAATCAAGGCAATAAATATATATGGTTGTACTATCCAACTTTCATTATTTAAATAACAACTACATTAGATAAACTTTTTTAGCATATCATTTTAAAATATGATATTTAAAAAAATAGGACCAGAAATTGGGTCGGAACTGGAATCGCCGGTTCTAGATTGGTTGCAGAACTGGCATCGATACTGCCGGCGACGGGGCCAGTTACGGAGGCAGCACCTGGCGTTACTGGAACCGGAAGTTCTAGAACCCAAGCAGGCCCATAACCGTACCGTGTCTAAGTTTATACGAGACTAATGCTCTGTAACACCAAAGGAAATATACTAAAATATTCCAAGTTCCGTTCTCAGTGTTGCAATTTTCCTTCTACTATGTCACCAAATGCGAAAAATAGAATAAAAAGAATTTTTTAAAATATTTTTCTACCAAAGAAACATACCCTAAAAATTAGATTTAATTGATACCCAAAATTTATTTAAATTATTTCTAAAAATTTTGTAAAATATATGCATATCGACGTTCAAGATATATTAAAAATTTTATGAATTGAATGTAGATTAAATGTTTGTCCATATTCATTCAAAACCTAATATCTAAAATATTATAATGTACAATTCTTTAGGAATGGGAGGAGTAACTCTTAACAAAAAAAAATCCTGGGACGGTGTACTCTATTTAATCTAACAGCTCAAATTAAGTTTTAGCCTTTCACAACAAATGGGAGTTATAACCGGTGCATAAAATTTTGAACAATAACGTACGCTTAATGTAGCTGGACACATTGCTTTCTTGCATTATTAATTGTAGTTTCTGATGTCACTCAAGTTATATATAAATATATACACCGAGCTTGAACAAAGGAAAATACGCATTCAATAAAGGATCGACGACATAAGATTTAAAATGCATAATCTCAACATGAATCTATATTATTTCTTATTAGGGTTGCTCCTATTAATTGGAAAAATAAATGGAGACATTACTAAGGAAGATCCTGGAGTTCTCGATAAAGTACAGAAATTACCTGAATGTTCCAAGAAACAACCGCCTTCTGATGAATGTAGGAAAATAATTCTCAAACTCGTGCAACAAGATGGGCATACAGTTACCGCCGCAGTGCCCTCTCCTTTATGTTGCTCGGAGCTTCGTGCATGGGGCTTTCACTGCTACGCAAACTGGGTAGGGTTTGACAATCTTGTAGACTACTCTGTCTTTGGACCTTCGGATGAAGTTTATTTGAACCTTCAAAGCATTTGGTATGCATGCAATTACTCATAGAGCATCTTTAAATATGTGTGTATAATGCATACACATACACATAATATCTGTGTAGCCATAGGTCCGGCCCCCTAATTACTTCGAGGGGCATGGTTCTCATCCCTATCAGTGATCAACTTTTTAATTTTGATTACAAATTACAAAAAAGAATACATTGATCGAATTTTGATGTAAATTTCAAACCAATTGCATAATCTTTGCAAATAGACCTGACAAAACAATCAGCCAGGTTCGAGTTGTTTCATATTCGGTCAATTTAGGTTCGGGTTGTTGAATGTTAGTTCATGACCCAGATTAATCAGGTCTAAGTTGACCCAACAGATTTTGACACCTATTTACCCCATTGAAAATTTTGCATTGTGCTCGTCAACACCTCCCCCAAAACAAAGAACAAAATCACCAATAAAAAAATGGGGTGTAACTAAAATATGTTAACATTGACATGCACTCAAGCCCTCAATGAAAAATCCAAGCACACAATTATCAAAGTAATAACAATTAATTTAGGGTTCAAAAAAATATACTCGGTACTATATATTACGGAATATGAGATAAAACTACTCAATCCGTCCATTTTGATTTTTCTTATTTGAGTTTTTATGGTCTTGATTGTAACTATTCAAGAGAGTAATTTTTGCTGAGCATTTGATCTCTATTTTTAAAGGGAAGAAGGGTTTCTTTTTCTTTTGTTGTACTTTAAAGAATTGTGATTCTTCAAAGAATTCTTGGTGTAGTATCTCCGAGAAGGAAGAAATTCCCGCGGTGTATCCTTAGGTGGAAGGTAAATAAAATACTTGGCTACTCAAGTTCTTGCATTCTAATGTTTTTCTAATACCGCTAATTTGAAGATCGAGTACTCAAACTCCATTGTTCGGAGACTAGAAGTAGGCATGAAAGTTTAGCCAAACCAAGACATACTGGCATGTTCTTACTCACTCTATGCTCTATTCTGAAAGGTGAATTTTTGCTGTTTCATTTCCTAGTCAAGTGATCTCTGACGTTGAAATTCGTGCATAAAAATTCCTAGAAACCAAAAATTCTAAGAATTTTCATATTTTATAAAGGTTAGTCATCAACTGTTCAACACGAAGGTTGAAGATCCGGGTCGAATTTGGAAAGAGATTCAAACATGCTAGGGGTGGTATGCATCAACATTTTGATAATTCAAACTGACACAAAATGCTAGTGCGATCAAAAAGTTTTGTACTAACATTTTGTACCTGTGTAAAGCATCACGCTGGCACAAAATCAAAATGCATACCTTTAATGTATAATTTGAGGTACAATTTTTGTTGTACAAGTAGCTTAATTCGAAGAGATCTCACATCCATGTTCTTACCCATTTTGGTGGGAAGAAGAGAACAGTCTTCACTCAAATATCGGCTTTATGAGGAAGGAAAGAAAAAATCGCTAGAGGCCATGAATGGAAGGGGTAGAGAAGATAGGGATCCATGGTAAGGGGATGAGTAGGTGTGTAGTGGAATAGTTGGGAAACAATGAAGGGCACGTTAGTCATGTAAGACAATGTGGATGCCAACAGTTGAAAGCTACTAAGGCCCCGTTCCGTTCAACTTATTTTTTTCTTATTTTTTCTTATTCTTTTTAAAATCGGATCAGATCAGATCAAACCAGACCAGATCGAATCAGATCAGATCCAATCAGATCAGATCATGACTTATTAAAATCAGATCCCATCAAGAATTATTATTATTATTATTATTATTATCATCATCATCATCATCATCATTATTATTGTTCTTAAAAATGAAAAAGAATAAACTTTAGAAATAGGTTAAATAGAAAACTGAGAAAGTAATCCTTAATTATTAAACGTCGGAAAAATTAGTTTTAAAATACATTGACAATGTCAATCTAATTCTACTTTTAAAATATATTTTTATTGCTACTTGTAATTTGATTTTCTAAAGTTTTGATCTTTTATAAGGATGAGATATTTTAATAAAAATACTATCTCTTCTATATATTGATTATCTAAATTTAATTACTTTTTAATGCATATCTAAATTAAATATTTATTCTAATGTATATATGAAGTAATTATTAAAATATTAAATTAATATTCTAATTTCACAAAAAAATAATCATAAAATAAAAAATATTATTACATTATAATATGAATGGTTATTCTAATAAATGAATTAACTAATTTTATTTTATTAAAAAATAATCATTGAATAAAAAATATTGATTATATTATAATATGAATTATCATTAAAATTTTCAAATGTTATTATAAAGTCAAATCAAATTATTGATTTGAAATTTTAAATTAAATCATAATTAATCAGATCAGATCAGATCAGATCCAGATCAGATCAGATCCAATCAGATCAGATCAGAACTTATTAAAATCAGATCAGATTAGAAAAAATAAGTTGAACGGAACGGAGCCTAAATAGGGAAGGAGTAAACACCTTTTACGAGACGAAAGTAGTGAAACTTTGTCTGGATTTAGTTGTTCGCCCTCTAAAAAATCTCATTATAAAAAATGATTTTAAAATATAAATAAGTCTTTTAAGTGATTTTGCCACTCATTTATGTGAACATTACTTATACCCTATCTTAACAGTATTTTAAACAACCTTATCATAATACTTTTATGGCCTGTTTGAGAACATAAATTTGGATTTGAAATCTAAAATTGGTCCAAATATCATGTTTGGCCATTTAAAGAATTTAGATTTGAATTTGATCCAAATTCTTCTAATTATCCACTTACCCAAGCACAAATTCATACCCTCTCCCATGTCATTTGAATTAGTGACCCAATTAAAAGTTAGTCCTTTATTCACATAACTTTGCTCATCACTTTCACCTCTAGCTCATCTCATTTGCTTCATCGCCGTCATCCATAAGAGTCACTCATCAGTCATCACCTTCGTCCATCATCGTAGCTCATCACTGCCCATTATGCCACTCATCACTGCCCATCACTGTCACTCATCACTCATCACTGGCAATCATTATCGCTTCGCTCCCTTAAATCTGATTTAAAAAGCTGCTTCAGTCATCCCCTCCACTGCTACAACCACTCAAACTCGGTAATTGTGTAATTGTGATTACATAGTTTGTATTTAAAACCCTAGTTATGGAGATAGATTCATATTTCTTCAATTTGGTCTAGAATACCTTATGTTTCAAATTTTTTGATTAATTGCAATATATTCATATTTCTTCAATTTAGTTGATTGCAACTCCTATTTCAGACGAAGTATTTGACAATATGAGACCTATCTCCTTTGCACCTTAAATTGGCTTTGGATTCATAGGATTGAGAGATGTTTTGGGAATTGGGTGGTATATCCAAGTTATATGGAAACACAAGAATTTACTGAATATCCTTTTATGGGAACGGGAAACATCTCATGCCTCCCTAATTTATCTCTTGGTGTGTGCCAAACTATGAGATTTAGGAGATTTGACATAAAATTCTATCCAATTCGAATAATTTAATTTCAACTCAATTCCGACTATCAAATTAATCCAAATGTAGAGTAATTATTTTAGCATATGCTCATGTGCACCTAAAACATTGTTGCTTGCAACCATAAAACTTACCCAATAATCCCACCACCCTCTACCGCGCATAAAAAACAGTAACCGTGTTTGAAGCATTATAGTGAGTATTTCTTTGAGTAACTATCACTACTGTGACTTTAAACACAAGAATAACATGGTAAGGAGTAATTCTTTGCTAAGTGAATGGTTAACACATTGGATGGATTTTACGATCCTTAATTTTGTTATATTGAACAACAGATTGAAACTGCCCTCGTTTTTTTTCTCTTTCGCACAAACATTCGATTAGTCTTCAAGAAGAGTGAGGGCAGTTACCGTCCCCCAAGGTCCCACCTGATGGTTTGCGCGAAAAAAACAAGAAACCAATTGCTTTAATGCAGGGAGTGCGCAAAGCCAAATTTTCAAGGTAGCTTAGGCATTAAACACTACTCTTCTTTTTGAGATGAAAGTGCCAAAAGCTTATTTAGAGAGTTTGCCCAATGTATGGAGTGCAGTTATTTTTAATAACTTATAATAGAATGTAAAAAAGACTAATTGGTGAATGGTATATTATCTTTTTCTGTCTCAAATATATTACTCTCTTAGTCCCTCCAGCCATCCAACCCATAAAAAGAAATTAGTTTTACAAGTGTGTAATTTTAAATTTTAATTAGATACAACTAATGACAGTTACAAATTATATATTGCTTTAAGTTTATAATCTGTTGATGGTGTTCTTTGGTCACCGACCTACCTAGTGTTTTTGCATCTTTCTTTCCTAATATTGTACATAATATAAACCAATTCCACTCATATGAAACCCATGGGATTAGAATACTAGTGATTGGTTATATAGCTCTTATGTTAACTTACATGGTAATTGGTCAAACCATTATGTTGGACTAGTTTTTTTTTCTTTCAATCTAAATGAACAGTTCTTTTAAAGGGTGCTCACTAAAATTAAACCCAACATGGAACCTCAAAAGTTTTTAGTCTTTTCTTTTTTGACTAATGCACTAGATGTAGGGTCATTCACAAGCAAGTTCTTATAAAATAATATTATAGAGCATTAGGAGATACTGCAGAACAATATGATAAAGCAGCAATGGCTATGGATGAGGAGATGACAAGTGAAGAAATGAGAATATCAAAAGCTCCGTGTCTAAGAAGGTGAAGAAAGATCAGGCAATTACAAGTTCCGTGAACTCATTCCATGAATAAGTACAAGTTCACGAAAATTGTAACTGCTTGAGCCAAACAATCTTTCTTCACCTTCTTAGACACAGAACCTGTTGACACGCTCATTCCTTCACTCGTCATATCCTCATCCATAGTCATTGTTGCTTCATCATATTGCTCAGCACCATCCTCTAATGCTCTATACTCTTATTTTTATAAAACTAGCTTGTGGATGACCTTGCACGAAGTACATTAGTCAAAAAAGAAAACCTAAAAGTGCAATTGACGATGATGTTCCACAAGCTAATGTAATTGCCAAAGAAACTCATGCCTAGAAATCTTTTCAATGATTAGCACCCTACCTGGGAATGACCCATTCTCTTGCAGTTCTATTGTACATTTATTTATTTCTAACGCGAAAATTTATTTCAGTCAATTAGGGCCTTTGGTCTAGCCTTCCCCTCTTTTGTACTTTTTCTTTTTCTATTAATAAAAATCTTCTTTAAAATTGTGCAAATTCAAATGGCTTACTGTCTGGGGTAAGTATATATATGTCCCGGGGGTCACATGATCTGGTAGCATAATACCTTCCACTCATCGGGTGCATGCAGCTGCAATACCGCGAGAACCTGCACGATGTGGGGCAAGTTGGCAACCAAATGGGGCTGCAGGTAAAGGGGCGCGAATTATGGACCAAGGCCAACTAAGTGAGTTTGCGAGAAAGAGGGAATGACCAAAGGAAATCATGCCTAGAAATTTTTCTAAGGATCAGTACCTGGTTTCAGTATTTGGTAATGACCCATTCTCTTACAGTTCTGTTGTACTTTTAGTTGTTTCTAACGTGGTTTTTTATTTCAGTCAATTAGGGCCCTTGGTCTAGTCTTCCCCTCCTTTGTACTTTTCCTTTTTTCTATTAAGAAAAATCTTTTTTTATAATATATATATATATATATATATATATATATATATGGGATTGAATCCAGTCAGATGACATCTTTCGGTCAGATGACACTTTCGGTCAGATGACATGCTTCAGAATGAGCAACACCTTGTTTGAGAATGAGCACCACCTTATTTCAGGATGAACACTACACTGAGCAGACTCTGAATGAGTACTAGGTTGTTTCAGAATGAGTACTACGTTTATAATGAACAAATGTGTAAAAGTCAACCCTAAAGTCAACCCTACGATGTCTTAGAATGAACACTACGTGGATTCAAAATGAACCCTATGTTGTCGTCTCGCTGGCTTGGAATGAACACTACATTGTGATGAATAGTTGTGTGAGAATGAATCCTACGTTGTTTAAGAATGAACGCCACATTGATTCAGAATGAGCATTCGTTGTCATCTGACCAAAAGTGTCATCTGACTGGAGTCAATCCCTATATATATATATATATATATATATATATATATATATATATATATATATACACATACATACATACATACATACATATATATATATATATATATATATAAAATAAAAGAACAGATCATTTAGATAAAATGAAAAAAAGAACTAGTCCAACATAATGGGGTGACCAATGACCATATAAGCTAACACAAATGCTATATAATCAATCATTAGTATTCTAATCCCTTAGGTTTCAAATGAGTGGCACTGGTTTATATCATGTACAATGTTTGAGAAGGAAATATGCAGAAACACTAGGTAGGTCAATGACCAAAAGAACACCATCAACTAATTATTAACTTAAAGTAAAATATAATTCGTAATTGTCATTAGTTGTATCTAATTGAAATGTAAAAATTACACACTAGTAAAATCGAATTCTTTTCATGGGTTGGACTGTTCGAGAGGGACTGAGGGAGTACTATATTTCAGACAAAAAGGGATGTTAATATACCATTCACCAATTAGTCTTTTTGCATTCTACTATAAGTTATTAAAAATAATTGCACCTCTTCTTGCCTTGGCCTCCAAATAAGCTTTTGGCATTTCCATCTCAAACAGAAGAGTGGTGTTTAATGCCAAAGCAGTCTTGAAAATTTTGCTTTGCGCACACTCTGCTTGAGGCAACTAGTTCCTAATTTTTTTCGGACAAACCATCGAGTGGACTTTTGAGAATGGTAACCACCCTCCCTCTTATTGAAGTCTAATTGAATGCATGTGCGAGGATAGAGAAGAAGAACGAGGGCACGTTCTAATCTGTTGTTCAATATAAAAAATCAGGGTCACAAAACCCATCAAACATGTTAACCATTCATTTACCAAAGAATAACTCCTTACCATGTTATTTTTGTGTTTAAAGCCACAGTATTGATTGTTACTCTTTATCAATGAAATGCTCCTTACTATTATGCTTCAAACACGGTTACTGGTTTTTTATGCGAGGTAAAAGGTGGTGGGATTGTTGGGTAAGTTTTTTGGTTGCAAGAAATAAAATTTTGGGTGCAATGAGCATATGCTAAAATAATCCGTCTACATTTGGATTGATCTGATAGTCAGAATTGAGCTAAAATTGAATTATTGGAACTGGATAGAATTTTATGACAATTCTCCAAAAACTCATGGCTCGAGCACACACCAAGAGATAAACAACAGAGGCATCATATGTTTCTAGTTCTCAGAAAAGGAGATATAGGTCTCATATTGTCAAATACTTTGTCTGAATTACAAGTTGCAATCAACCAAATTGAAGATATATAAATCTATTGCAATTGATCAAAAAATAAGAACCCAGCCTAAATTGAAGAAATATGAATTTATCTCTATAACTAGGGTATCTTAATACAAATTAAGCAATCACAATTATCGAGGGTGAGTGGTTGTAACAGTGAAGGGGATGACTGAAGTAACTTTTTGAATCGTAACTACGGGAACAAAGCAACAATGATGGTCGGTGATGAGCAACAGTGATAGACAATGATGAGCGACAGTGATGAGCGACAATAATGGGCGGTGATGAGCGACAGTGATGAACGAAGGTGATGAGCAGCTTTGATGGATGAAGGCAAAGAAGTGAATGAGATGAGCTAGCGGTGAAAGTGATGAGCAAAATTACAAAAATAAAGGACTAGAGTTTTAATTGGCCACTAATTCAAATGACATTGGAGAGGGTATGAATTTGTGGTTGAGTTAGTGGATAATTGGAAGAATTTGGATCAAATTCAAATCCAAATTCTTTAAATTGCCAAACATGATATTTGGACCAAATCTAGATTTCAAATCCAAATTCATATTCCCTAACAAGCTATTATGGAATTTCAAATTTTAGAATTGAAATTCAAGAATTGAAATGAATTCCCATATCCAAACATGGATAATGAACACTAAATTCCATACAAACTGGAAAACTAAATGGAAGGTGAGAGGTTTGAACCTTAGTGAGAAAGGTCACACATTTACTGTCGTTTTTCCTAATGAGAGGTCACAAGTTCGAATTCCAGTACGGGTTTTAACTTATTGTTTTTTACTTAAATACTTAGAGTTAATAGTGCTCAAAAAATTGCAAACGGATATATTAAACTAACCTAAGAAGAAGTGACGCAAGATTCAGGCCTCCGTACAATGTATAATTTATCATCAAGTATGTTTTCCTTGTAAACATCCAGATTCCTATGCCAAGTCCATAATGCATGAGTAGAATTCTCAACCTGCATGGAAGAAGAAGAATTGGGAAGCAAAGTCATTTACATAAATGCACAATATATATTGGAATTGTGTGTGAAGGCTGGGGTCTTATAGCTTAATTTTATATTCAATTCTTTGACAACAAAGTTGCCAAATAGGTTGAGTTCGAGGGCGGTACATTCAGATTTGATCATTTTGGCTTTGGATAAAAATTGCTTTATTATGAACCAAGTGTTCGGGTTTAGATTGACTCAACAGATTGGAAGCGTTATTTTTTACAATTTTATTATCATGTTCCTTTGGCAATGTCAAATAGTTTTTTATAATAATTACATTTAGGGAAAAGACAACTTCCAAATAAATCAGATTAGAGGGCATTCGGGGGGGATCGGGACAAAAAATGTATATTTCAGAAACTAGTATTATCAAGTTGGGAAACAGATAAGTAACATGTCAGATCAAATTTCACAAATGTTTTCAAGAATAAAGCTAAAGATAGATTTACCTCAAGGATTCCATGTCCAAAACTGCTCTCTCTATATGCACTCCATTCTGGTTGTCTGTCCCAGCAAAATTTGCCTTTGGCAGGGCCATATGAGAAGTTCATGTGACACACACCTCCAAATTCCGGTATATTATCCACGTCGGATGGACACTTTCCATAGTCATCTGCAAAATCAACATCGACTTTCTCAATGTTCCCACCGTCCCCCACTGTTATGTACACTGGCCCACAAGGATCTAGACTATAGTTGTACACGCGGTTCGTCCGCTCATACGCATGAACCTGACACAATATTTTCATGAGGCATCAACTCCAACAACCACCCAGAAAGGTCGTACTAAGTGTAAAGTTGATTTTTAGACATCCAAAAATGGAAAGTGTAAAGTTACGTGTCCAGAAAAGACAATGTCAACTCCATATTCGTATAAGAGATGTTCCATTTCTAGCCTCATGCATTCGAATTCCTGGTAGTGTGATGAGTAGCTGTTATACCACGGAGGATGCCACGCGGCAACAAGCCATGGAGTTACACTGCGATTGAATTTCTTCAAGTCTTCTACAAGCCAGCTATATTGGGAACCTGAATGGAAAAATGGAAATTCAAAGGCAAATTGATGAAACCAACTCAACCAAAAACTCAAATTCTTGGTTGTAGTCCCAAGAATGGTTTTATACTCTAACGATACAAATGTATCACATTCAATCACCAGTTCTATTGTAGTCAACATAGGCTCCGAGCATAAGGAAATGCACTCCGCCGGCATTGAATGAGTAATAGAAGTTACTCATCGATCCTGATTCATTTGAAGGAACAGAGAATCGTGTTGTATATGACATGAATGTTATTCCTTCTGCTTGGGGCTCAATCTCATGGTTTCCTTCTATGACCATCATTGGTATTCTTGAGGTCAATGGCTCCATAAACCTGGATTCAAATTCTAGTTATATTGTTAGAACACGTCAATTAAGAGCCCGTTTGACAAGCCTGGAATTTAGCTAAAGTGAACTTTTTTTAGACTGCCAAGAAAAGGAAATAATGATTCAGTCAAATGTAAAAAGGGACGAATTAATTTACCTTCCCCATCCATCCCAACGAGGTTGATACGTCTCTCTGATGGGTGAATCAGGAAACTGACATGAATAACAGGAAGCTGCTTTCCCACCAGTTGTAACGTACTGATTTGCATAAGCCATGTCCCCAACCATCAATGCCATTGAAGGAGCGTTTGCGATGAGATGATCAATGGTTGCAGTTGAATTGCTTGTGAGGCCTAGATCTCCAACCACAGCTATTCGACGAGGATACTTATTAGGCCCAGGCAAAGGCATGGTCTCAAACGCATGCTCCTTGCTCATTGAGGGTAAAGAACTGTCTCCACACTTGTAGTAATACTTCGTCTCCGGTTCAAGACCTAACCCAGACAAACAAAGCTGCTCACTTTCGAAGCAACTAAAGAGATTCGAGTACTTCTCACTTTACTTACAACAACAACAAACCCCGGTAAAATCCCATAAGAGTAGGATCTGGGGAATGGGGAGGGTGTGTGTGTGTGTGCAAACCTTACCACTATTTGGAAGTAGAGATAACTTTTCACCTTAAATACGATGAAGAAATTCCAATGGACTATTAGTACATATCTGACTAAAAACTTACCATCATTAGCTTCACCAGCCTTCAAGAATCATATCCTAATAAGACAACTTTTTAATGATCAATGGTAGTATTGAAGAGGACTGCATTACGTACAATTAAAGGGATTTTTGTGAAGTATTTACCATCAATTCTAACATGGTGAATAATGCCAGAAGTGTAATTCCATAGACCTTCAAATGTATACAACTGGCTATAAATCATTGAACCCCCAGATTTAGTCTTTGTGTACAACCCACTTGATTTCCCATAAAACACCTCACTTCTTACTTTTGTTGGATCGAGTGGCGTGACATTCAATCCAATCTGTGATTCCCCTGAAACCAATAAACAAAATCTTTGTGTACATTCAAATGGTGATCTAAAAGGTGGGTTCAACTGATGCAGTAGCTATAATCAGTAATCACTCACTACCCAGTTCTAATAAAGCTAAAGAGAAAGATCTCAGAAAAACTAATCAATTGAAACCAAATTTTACTGTGGTTAAAACCAAGAATGTATACAAAGAGACCCTAAAATTCATTCTGTCCTGCAATTTTACTAGCCATTAGAACAGAAATAATTCAATCATCCAAATCAAAGCTCTAGGGGTATAATACCAGTATATACTTACTATAACCAATTACACAATCATTATCTGCATATCAGTCAAATACCAATGCAAAGCTCTTCAGCTCAAGAACTAATGAAATTCGGGAATCAGGAAAATAAAACCAGCTTAGTGATGTAGGAAATGTCAAAACCAGAAAGCATACATTATACATACCAGTGACCCAAGAAACCCAGATAGAAGTAGGGGTGGATAAAGCAAGAGCGATCTGTTCAGGAGACATGGAAGTGGCATTCCTCTTGAGCCTGGGATGTTCCATGGGCAAGTCGTCACTGCCTGGGCGCAACGAACGGTCGAACCTCCGAGTCACCGGCGTGAAAGGGCCATCCGTTGTGCTGGGTATTAACCCTTCATCCAGCTCCGCCGCCGCCGCAGCCCAAACCACCAAGAAAAATGCAGCAATGATGGAACTCGTGAGCCGCAATTGAGGTCCCATCTTCTTTTTTTCTTATGCAATAGAACACTTTACAAGTCCATGGCCCGTAATTTTGATGGTTGAAATCCATAAGAACGTCGCATGCTGATCACGAATGCATCCCCTCGAATTGGATCCTGACTTGTCAACAATGGTCTCGATTGGGTCATGCCGGGTCGTGGCTAATGGTTTTGCTGAAATTGGTCTATTTCTAAAATAAAAATATACTCCGTATTACGGAGTACTATGGAAAAATATTTTAAATCTTTTAGGATGAGAACGTAATAATAAAAACTATTAATATAATTTTATAAATCTAAAAGTAGATATTTTAGACTATTTACAATTAATTAGAAAAATATTATGTAAATAAAATATTTTATACTATATTATTTTTTGAATATTTCAAAATAGCTATTTGCAAGTAGCTAAATGTACCAAACATTTTTTAGCAATCAGCCAACACATTCAGCCAGTCAAACAAGCTAAACTCAACAGTTCCTCAGAACAGTTGACACAAATAGTCAACAGCAACTTCCAAACAAGGCCTATTACGAAGTAGTACTTAGTACTTTCTCTGCCTCCAATTAATTTTTTCAGGTACTATTACGATTTCTTGATAAATTATGTTTGAATGCTTGTTTTCATTAATTGTTTGATAAAATAAAATATATTTGTTCTGTTTTGTTTTGTTGAATTTTGAATAAGGCTTTTAATGATTTATTTATATTTATTATTTTTTACCAATTTGTAAAGAATTAAATTTTAAGAGATTTTACATATTTTTTCTAAATGAGAAAATTAAATTAGGAAATAGAGAATAATACCGAATAGAATATTTCCAATCATTTGTAGGTCTATCCTATTGAGACTTTGTGTAGGTCATCACATGCCTATGTTCTGGAGAAGAAGTACCCTCCAAAATTATCACACATTCACACCATATGATATGTCGCTTCATTTGTTTTCTTCTCTAGGGGTACTATTCGTAACATTCTCTTTATTCGTGGCCAATCTTTTCATTCTAGTGCTCGGATATGGTATTATTATTGTACTTAATTCTTTAAAATTTTAACCAAAATTATGAGAAAATATATTGAATTATAATATAAATTTAATATCGATAGATTAATTTTAAAAAGTATTTTTAAAATATCACACTATTTTATAATTTATGTTTATATATAAATAATGATATTAATAGTCAAAATATTATATTGAATATCATGAAAAAGTCAAATAAGATCGGAAGAAAGATATGGGACAAAGAGACTATTGTATTACAAGTATAATTTAACAATAATTCTTTTTAATATTGTTGAAATTAATGACACCAATATTAATTACGATATCAATTTATGCATTATCAAATGACATAAAGCTTTTGATAAAACAAAACTATTTATTAAATTGGAATTCAATATTATCATATCGAACACTTAAAATAAAACAAAACTATTTATTAAATTAGAATTCAATATTATCATATCCAACACCTAAGATACTTTGTTACAATGACATCTTCCAAACCCCTCAACTCCAACTTGTTGTTTTGATAAACTTTTATTATAGCAAAATGACAAAATAGAGAGAAGGTCAAGAGAGATTTAAGAAAGAGAAGGGTAGGAACTACTTTCGTACACAAGAGAATATCGTGGGTGCCCAAATGGTCTAATGTACAAAGAATGGGAGATTAATAAAGAACATAAAACAATAATGAAAATCCTTTAATTTTTAGTCCTACAATGACACATTTAATTTTTTTGCAGAGTTAGCTTCTTAAGCAGCACATAATGATAAAAAAATATTGTGTAATGTCAATATGCAATATGACATTGTTAATAGTTCTACTATGGGATAATAACATGTTATTCCTCTTTTGAGAATAAACTAGATTCATACCCGTGCGTTGCACGGATAGAAACATGTCCCAAAATATAAATTACATAATATTTGAATGAAATGTTTAAGTAAAAACAAAAATTAGTTAATTATCTAAATAGAGATTCACATAGAGTTAACTATTGTATCACATCTCAAGTTTAAATACATATAATTACATAACATTTGATAAAACATCTACATTTTATGGAAAAAAAATCTTTATAATAGTTGTAGAGAGTGCATGTTGTCCATCTTAGTTACAAATCAAAATCTTTACACTACTGTGATTTGTAACTTTTGAAGTTATAAGATATAATTGTCAATAATTTGAATATAGGTTTTTTTTAAGAAGGCCTAAATGAGACTAATTGGTTTTAATTTTTTTTAAGAGTTATAAGACATGATATCATTATGAAGAATTATTGTCTTTCAAACTTGAAAGCAAATTTTGGATATGAATGACAATCTTGGAATGGACAACCTCTTGACTTGTAGGCGTACCAAATAAATAAAATGTGTTGCCAAACATGTGACAAATAAAATGGTCCCATTGTACAACCCTATTGTGTGATCAATATTGTTCGATAACATCATTAATGTGTCAAATTTTAATCTTAGTTCATGATTTGGATCATTCGAAACATGTATATTGTTCAAAAATTCCGACAAATGTAATTCACTAAATAAATCTAAATTATAGTCCAACTTACATACTTTATATGTCCGAGAATCATTGTTTGGATTCAATTTTAATAAAAGATGGCGATTTAATATTACTGCGTGGAATCCATGTCCATAGTGTACAATTTAGGCTACCGTGCAAAGCCCTATTCATCTTGAGTATTAATATATATTCAAAGAAGTGGTGGAGCATTCTATCAAAGTAAAAGTTTAATTTTTTAATACACAGAATAAAAGCATTTTAACTCACATATATGGGAAAATATTCATTTCTTAAGACAACTAAAAGTTCATTAAAATACAACCAACCACTATTTATCACGATGACGATGCTTTTGATTGTTCATAATATTGAAATGCGTTAAATGATTGATTACACAACAGAGCAAATTTTGCCAATATTTAAATTGGACAATGAACGTATACAATATATATATTGTTTGTAGAGTAGTGCTAGAGTCACAAACAAACAGTTCACAAAATTCACAAACTTAGAGGCATTTTTTAATTGGCATACTAAGGCATTTAATTAATTTGAATATGACGTTTCAGATTTCAACAGATTGTTCCAGAAAATGCACGGCGAGCAGTTCCACAATCCCACCACTCACATTTAATATACGGTGATCAGAACCGTAATTTTTTTACAGAAATAAAAAAAATCAACTGACATGCAAAATGGACATGTGCTAATTGATTGTGCTCAATCTGTGCCGTTATACATAGACGGCCAGATAAATATATAGATTGTGCTAAAAAGACGGCTAGATAAATTTAGCACAATAAATTCCATGGGATTTTATGTTTGGGTGGGATAACATCTTTTTTTTTCATTTCTCTTTTTTTCACTTCCTTAATACTCCGTAATATTCTTTTACTTTCCAATGTAGTATACAAATAAATATATACATTTCTAATAAAAGAGCAATACTGTCAACTTTTACGGAATATTATAAATGTAAAAAAAATTGATTTCTAATTTAAAAAAGTGGCAATAATGCCATCCTTTATACGGATATTCATATTCATATACAAACAAAATAATAGTGTGAAATGGGCACTGATTACACACCGACACAACATTAATTGCATACTCCTAATTAATTATGGCATTAATAACTTATGCATTTCGAATGCTAAATTCTCAGCCCTTGATTACTCACCGATGACAAATCAATGGTTGTTATTTCAAGACCCATTGGGCGGGGAAACATCTTGACATATTTTTTTTTCTTTTTTTTTAAAGCTTGATTTCTTTTGCTTTTGTATATAGTATAGATTAAAGTCATATTTTGCTTCTATTTTTGACCAAAAAATGCCAGCCCTTAACACATGGTTTAGGCCATTGTTATGACGGGCTTGACGGAGTGTAAATTTGTATGATGTGGAGTGATGAAAATGTGTGTGATAGTGACTGTGAAGGAATGCGTTGAGATGTGGATGCGTGCTAAATTTTGATTGCTTGAAATTATACGTAAATAAAAAAAAGAAGAGGGTGACAGAGGAAAGTGCCACGCCCTCTTCACGAAAGTCCGCCGCGATCGACGTGTGTCAAGGGCATGAAGGAGGAGGTAAGCCCTCTTCATGCCACAACATATGGCCTTATTGAAAAGACATCTTTTACATGGCAATCATGTTAGGAGTATACCAAGAAATATACTCCAAAGAGATACACCGACATTTTCACGATTCACACTAGTATAAAATAGTAAAAAACTAGTTAATTTTAAAAAAATTTACTAACATTTTATGTCATTATAAACAATTACACACATAAAATATTAGTGCTTTTCTTTAGGGTACGAAGTGGAATATAATTTTTGGAGTAGAAATCAGTGTTTTGAAGACCGGACCGGACCGGCCGGCCAGCAGCATATCAGGTCCGGTTCACTGAAGAAACCCGCTTCCCCTTTAACCCGCCCAAATCCGTCGGACCCGGTGAACTGGGTGACCCGGGTGGACCCGTCCGGTTCCTGGGTTTGAACTTAAATCTATATTTTATTAGATTTCCAACATAAAAAGTGAAAATGTTAGGCTGGGATTCGAACCCAGCACATCCGTATATCAGTGCTAGTTGTCAACCAAGTGAGCTACTCAATCTTTGTTCAAAATCAAGGTATCAATCATATCTATTTGTGGTTTTACAAAAGGTTCATACAAAATAAATATATACGGAATAGTTTTTTGTGCAAGTGTGAATTTGTATTTATGAACTTTCAAAATAGTTTTAAAAAATGAGAATTATTTAATTTTTATTTGAAAATAAATATACTATGTATATTTTATAATTAAAAGTTGTTGTCTTTAAAAATCAAGTAATATTTATTAATTATAATTTAATATGCTATATTTTTTTTTCAATCATTTTAATCAACTAAATATTAACTTTAAAATGTCATATGTATATAAGAATAAAATGTATAGTCTTTAATTTTTGAAAATATGAGTATCCCCTTATTATTTAATTATTTGTTAGAGATTCAATATTAACTTTTGATAATAATAAAAATAATAAAATAAAAATAGAAGGTGTGAAATAACATACTCCCTCCGCTCTCAAAAAGAGTTCATACTTTGAAAAAGTGGAAAAATAAGGAAGTGTTAAATAGTACTTCGAAGTTGACTTCCAATTTTACCCCTGATGTGATTGGTAAAAGTAAAATGTGATGGGTAGATTATTAGAGAAAAAGTATGATGTGATAAGTAGGATATGAAAAAGTAAGGGTAAAAATGGTTTTTTAATAGAAAGTGGAAGTGTTTTGTTGGAAGTGAAAAAAATGAAAGAGGAAGTGTTTTTTGAGAACGGAGGAAGTATGTACAAGGATATTAAAAAATACATGGAGAAATAAAAACATAAATTAAAATATTTCATTGACTAAATATATCTAATATATTATAAAATATTATTATTATAAACATAGTTGTCTGGGTCGTTGACCCCCGGTTGGACCGGTTCGACTGGTCAACCCTTGACCCACTACCTCGTCCGAGTCGACGTCCGGTCCGGTTTTTCAAAACATTGGTAGAAATAGCTTAATTCTTTACATAATCCTATTTTCTCTAACGAATTTCAAGTCTCAATCTCTCTATCCAAATCTACAAATCCCCCGTCTTTTCTTGCCAACTCTTGTGAATATGTTATTTTGCATCCCATACAGATCTGATTATTTACTGCTCATTTGCTCAAGAAACGCCTCGTTTATTGAAAACCCATTCTGAGTTTGAACTTTGAGCATAAATCTCTAGCTCTTGCGTCTGGTTTTTCCTCCAAGTCTGTTATTGACAATACAAATTCATTTTTTTTACACTAAAAAGAGAAAGAGAGGGAAAATTCTGAGGGGGTTTCCACTTTCAAGTCTTCAATTTGATTAATTTAGTTACTGGTTTTGAAGCTGCACTTATTGCTTGAAGAAGGGATTTGTGAAGAGGAGGGTAAAGATGGAAGTTCAAGGTTTAGGGATTTTGGGCCTGCTTATTTTCTTGGTGTTTCTCAGCTTCCCCAACAATGGTGAAGCTCAGACAAAATCTTTTTTCATAAACTGTGGCACAAATTCCAGTTTAAATGTTGGTGGCAAACAATGGGTGGGTGATACCACCCCTGGAAACAATATGAGTCTCAGTTCTCATGGCATTGAGGCCTCATCCCCTGCGTCCATCAATGGCAATCTGGTGGATTATGCACCACTCTACAGAACTGCCAGATTCTTTTCTGAAAGTCTTAACTACACATTCCAACGACCGCCCGGGAAGTTTTTCCTTAGACTCCATTTCTATCCCTTTGCGTTTCGGAACTACAATATGAATGAGTCATACTTTACTGTTGTGGCTAATGGCTTGAGATTACTCTCCAAGTTCAGTGTTACAGGTGAGATCTTGCAGAAGAACTCTCATGCTTCCACTAGCAATTCCAGCTTTATGGCCTTAGTCAAGGAGTATTTCGTTCCTGTTGAGTCAAATGTTTTTGTCATTGATTTCATCCCGGATAAAGGGTCGTTTGGTTTCGTCAATGCCATTGAGATGGTAGCTGTTGTTGATAGGCTTTTCGTTGATGTTGTGAACAAAGTGGGGAGGAATGGTGGCAAATCCTATTTGAATTTGAGCAAACAAGGGATTGAGACTATGTATCGGTTGAACATGGGTGGTTCAATGATCAAACCTCTTCAAGATTCAGTGTTTGGGAGGACATGGGAAGAGGATTCGGGCTATATGATCAATTCAAACGCCGGGTCAGAAGCCAGAAACAAATCTAGTATCACATATGCCTCCCCAAACGACACGTCCATAGCTCCCCTTCTTGTCTACGAAACAGCAAGAACTATGACCGACACTTCAGTCCTGGAAAAGAGGTTTAATATGTCATGGAAATTGGAAGTGGATCCAGATTTTGAGTATTTGATACGTTTGCATTTCTGCGAGCTAGAGTATGATAAACCAAGACAACGTATCTTCAAGATCTACATAAACAACCAAACAGCAGCAGAAAAGGTTGATATTTTCACACGAGCAGGAGGGAAGAACGCAGCATATCATGAGGATTACTTTGATGTGATGCCCTCCAAAAGCAAGAGTCTTTGGGTGCAAGTAGGTCCAGACTCATCGACGGGTTCCCAAGATGCGGATGCTATGTTGAATGGGTTGGAGGTATTTAAGTTGAGTCACAATGACAATCTTGCCCCCATACAAAACTTTGGGGACGCACAAGGCAAAAGACGCTCCAAAACCGCGATCATCTGGATGGGAATTGGAGCTGGAATTGTGTTCATTATGGTTTTTGCAGGAATAGCTCTACTGCTCACCTGTCTGTGTAAAAAGCAGAGAGGCAATGGCAAGAAGAGTACTTCTCCATCCCGATGGCGTCCGTTATTCCTTCACGGATCTATAGTGAGTAACAATGGCGAAGCGAAGGGATTGACTTGTGGGTCCCTTGGGACTATAAGATCCGGGAGGCGTTTTTTGCTTACGGATCTCAAAGAAGCAACAAACAACTTTGATGAGAGTTTGGTGATCGGAGTGGGTGGGTTCGGCAAGGTATACAAAGGGTACATAGATGATGGTACCTTAGCAGCAGTGAAGCGATCCAACCCACAATCTCAGCAAGGTCTTACAGAGTTTGAAACAGAAATTGAACTACTCTCAAAGCTAAGACATAAGCATCTGGTATCCCTGATAGGGTTCTGCGATGAACAAGACGAGATGATCTTGGTCTATGAATACATGTCCAATGGGACTCTCAGGAGTCATCTGTTTGGCAGTGACCTACCACCACTGAGCTGGAAACAAAGACTGGAGATCTGTATAGGTGCTGCTAGAGGGCTGCATTATCTCCATACCGGATCAGAACGCGGCATCATTCACAGGGATGTGAAGACGACCAACATACTGTTAGATGAGGACTTTGTAGCCAAAATGGCGGATTTCGGTCTTTCCAAAACGGGACCCACTTTGGACCATACCCATGTGAGCACGGCAGTGAAGGGAAGCTTCGGGTACCTTGATCCAGAGTACTTCAGGAGGCAGCAGCTCACGGAGAAATCGGATGTGTACTCATTCGGTGTGGTTTTGTTTGAAGTCGTCTGCGCAAGAGCTGTGATAAACCCAAGCTTACCAAAAGATCAAATCAATCTTGCAGAATGGGCAAGGAGATGGCAAAGGCAAAGATCGCTGGAAACCATCATTGACCCACAACTAAAAGGGAAGTATTCTCCAGAGTCACTGGCGACATTTGGCGAGATTGCTGAGAAATGCCTTGCTGATGAAGGGAAGACCAGACCGACAATGGGTGAAGTTCTATGGCACTTGGAGCATGTCCTCCAACTTCAAGAGTCTTGGCTGCAGTCTAATGATGGGGAAAAATTGGTCGATGATGCGTCTGCTCCAAACGCCTTTGAAGAGAAAGAAGAACCTGAGAGAGTATCAAGAACAATTCTCTGAATGGAAAGGCTATGGTGGAAACTTCAGCAAACACAACAGATGATTCATATCCTACCGCTTGTTTGGGCTGAAGAATTTCAAAGTTGATGAATTGGTAAGCTTTGACATGGAAAAGGTTTGGGCTATGTTTGTGATCGGCTCTTCAATTCTTTCATTCTTTTATGTATTTTAATTATTTGGGAGGACAGATTTAATGGTCTCGTAGCTTCAAGTCTCTACATTATCCTCATGCTAAGGATCTATTGATTGAATTCATCCGAAAAGTGATCCATTTTGGATTTCGGAAGCTTTAAGCGAAGTGTTTAGCTCCTAACTTGATGAGAAATCAAAAGGAAGTTTAATTCGCTATCAAATTTCTGGGCTTCGGAATTTCTCTCTCTGCAATGTCAGCGTTAACTTACCTTTCACTCGAAATGGGTACGAAGCCTCGGGGCTTCAAACTAGGACTTTAAACCTTAATTTTCTTAATTTTTTATTACATATTTTATAAAATTAAATTAATAAAACTTCATTATTTAAACAACAATAATTCATTAAATAAAAATAATTACCTTCAATAAAAAAGAACATTTTAAAAAAATTACATTAATTAAAAACCTAAAACAAATTATATTTAGCTTTGATCTCGTTATGTCTTCCCTTAAAAGCAAATTATATTCGCTTGCTTGTTTGACTCGAGACCGGACAAAGGAACATTAAAACTGAAGAGATTCATGTTAAAAAAATGAAAAAAATTGAATACGGAGTATTTTTTTTAATTTGAAGAAGAGGGGAAAAGATTTTGTGTTTCTTTTTAAGTTGAAGAAGAGAGAGACTTTGTTTGTGAGTTTTATTTTTAAAAATGAGTTAATTCATAGAAGAGATTTTGTTAAGTTTGTAACAGCTTGTAGCCGTTTGAATGGAGAGATTCACTGCAAAAACGTCCGTTAAAAGTTTAACGCAGTGCGAATAATGCCCGGAAGAAGCCCCAGAGCGCGGTGTTTAACACTTTTCAGACGTTAAAACGGCAATGCCGTCGTGGGGCGTTACGACCATTACCATTGCCCTTATGAAACTCATCAGTTCATAACAAAAAAGAGAAAGAAACTCATCATTTCATGTTTATATCTATTTATTTATTGATTTTTACAAATGTTTAGGGTTTAAGGAAGTTAATACCAAAAGTGATACTTTCCAATAAAAAATATCATTCTTATTGAAATTGTATGGTACTTTGAACTATTATTGACATGAATAATGAACTTTGATTTGCAAGTTCATCCATTCTAAAGACTATTACCCAATTTATATCCAAAAATAATGATTTCTCGAACTAAAATTCATTATTTTTTTGGCTTTGGGATTTGATGTAATAGAGCAAAATGGTTCTTTAGTCAATGCAACTTTCAATGCTCATCATTGGTGATCTAAAAACCACCGCTCTATGTTTTAAAGAGTCAGGGTACATGATTACCCGTGGTACTTGAGCAGGGGTCTCTTTCGAAACAACACTTCTGTCTTCAAGTAGGGATAAGGTCTCTCTACCCATACCCTCCCCATACTCCCCAACAGTTGTTGTATTTCCGCAGCACTATGGGTTTTTCAAATACTACCCTACGCACCACTAGAAACGTATAGCAAATTTGAACACTGTATAGACCAAAGCATTTGCCAGTTTGTCACTAATTTCCAGTTTATGAAATAAAATACTCCGTACAAAGAGAAGCTTGATAATGACAACAGCTAGCCATATTGCAGAAAAGATTTATAAATATATCCAGAGAGAGAGAGTAAGCTGCAAAGGGGTACAAGCACAGCCAGGGGCTGCTGTATTGTTTTCAACAGAAACATAAGACACGCAAAACTAATTCCAAGACTGAAAGAAGGCTAAACAAGGCCATCCCACAGACATTCTTTCCCAGTATTCTTGCCCTCAAGGATGCTCAAAAGATCATTGGGAGGGTTCAGACCAAACTTCTTTGCACGCTCCCACCGCGCCAGTCTGCTTATTCCCAGGCATGGCCCATACACTAAATTCATGTCAAATTGCCGCAACACATTATCATTCTCTTCATAGTCCACTGCCAAAAAAGATAACACATAAAAAAAACTTAGCTCCGTCCTTCTTTGAAGAAGGTATATTAGTATTAACAAATTACATCACCCCTCACACCCCCTTTGACACCGACTTCATGTTCATTTGCTGACACACAAAATGCTTGTGTGAAAGCGGTGTGAATGTTGCGTAAATGCACAATTTCTTTTTGAAGATATATATATATATATATATATATATATATATATATATATATATATATATATATAGATGTTCATAATGATAACTTCAAAACTAAGTTTTTTTGAAAGCTATGATGACCATTTCAAATGATTATTCCACCCACATTATTCGCTCAAACCAATTCATTTAGAGCAATTAAACATTGTTTGCGCCTGAGCAAGGCATAGTATCTGAAACTTAGCTCCGTTTGGTACACAACATTCAAGCCATGGAATTGCAATTGAGGAGTTCAATTCCAATTCAGCTGTTTGGTAGCAAAAAATATATATGAATTTGGAATTAGTAGTGCAAAAAAAATGATTTGAAAATTGGAAAATTCAATTCATTCCAATTCAGTTCCATTGAACTTTAATTCCAATTCCGTCAATTACATGGACCAAACGGACCCTTAGGGTTCAATTTTATGATTTTTATCAGCGAAATTGTACCTTGCAGTCCTTGCCCATATATTAGGGTTTCCACAATACATTTATATGCGTCAATTAGACTGAAGAATGTTAAGGATTGTTCAAGTTGAGTTTATAGTTTCGAAAGGTAGTGAAAAGAGATACAGATACAGAGATATACCTTGTAGATCGTGAGAGCCATGGGAGACGAGAGCCGGCGGTTGAGGGGCGTCAACGCCGGCGGAGGCGGAGATCATCGGCGTAGAGGAGGAAGACTTTGACTTCGCCTTTGACTTCGCGATGCACCCCTTCTTCTGTTGTTTGAAGAATCCCTTCATGTTTGATTTCGTCGCCATTTTCGTCTCTGGGTTTCTGCTTAGAATTCAAATTTTTGAAATGCAGGAGATGTGGAAGACTCGAAGTAGTGCTATATACTAGCCCATAGTTGGGCGTTCGGGCCAAATCAGGTATTGGGCTGGTTTTTTTGGGTGACCATTTCACACTTTAACAATTACTCCCACCGTCCCAAACTAAATTGTATGTTTACTATTCACATGGTTAAACATTATTTACATTGTTTTTTTATTTTCGTGATTCATTTAATTAAATAATATAATCATGTCACCACTAATTTTTTATATCTTTTAGTGTAGTTTTTAATTATGTATATTTTATTTTTAATTTAACATCATTTTTCATATACTACGTAAAATGATTTCAAAATAATTTCAGTCAAAATCATAAACCGGAATAGGAGATATAAATTGGAAAGGAGGGAGTATAATGAGTATGAGATTGTTTTAAAAAACATTATGATTCTTTTGACCTTAAAAAAATGAGGAAAAAAATGACCCGGGTATTTAGAATTTGTTCTTTTCGGTTGGAATTCTAAATTTGGATATCGAAAGAAAGTCAAAAAATTAAACATTCAAAACATGTCAATCAAAAATACATGGAATATAGAATTTAGAGGTTTTAAAACTTATTGGAAGTTAGGTACAAGTCGGGTCGGGGTCGGCCGGTCAAATATACTAACCCAAACTCGATCCGGCAAGAGTCAAATTTGGCTTACATTTTTTCTGAATCGATTTTGGATATTTAATTTTTCGGTTCGGATCTGAATATTACAAGTTTTGGTTGGGTCAGTTAAGACTGGATTCAGATAGAACTGGAAACATATCCTATATCCTATCCTATATATATATATGTAAAAGAGAGTTCCATGGTTGTGGTGATGACATGTGTCATGCCACGCATGCATACTATATATATATATAAAAGAGAGTTCCATGGTTGTGGTGATGACATGTGTCATGCCACGCGTGCATACTACTGACATGTGTCACGCCACATGTAAATCATGTCTTTCCATGCAAGCATGTCATAGTTGTTGTGACGACACGTGTCATGCCACGCATTCATACTACTGACATGTGTCACGCCACATGTAAATCACATGACACATGTCTTTCCATGCATGCATATTTAATTTTGTATTAAATAATCATTATTTTTATTATTTTTTATAAATCCTTCACTTTTCAACAATAAAAACTCATTATTTTTATTAACTTCTTACAAAGTTTT